TTTTTTTTTTTTTTTTTTTTTTTTTTTCTCCTCTCCCCTCTCTTTCTTTAATATCTGGCAGCATGAGTTAAACCTCGTCATAAACCTGCTCCTTGTCCAAGAAGGCCAAGCTATGGCGATATCTCATCTCTGGTCCTGAATTTTCTGAGTGGATATTTAAACTCACATATGCTCTCTGAGTGGATATTTAAACTCACATATGCTCGTTTCTCTGTCCCCTTGTCCCCTTTGCAAATTGCAATCCATTCCCCCTTCCCCCTCCTTTTTTTTGTCCTATGTGTCCCCCCCTCTGTCTTTAATATCTAGCAGCAGGAGTTGAACCTCATCATCAACCTGCTCCTCTCCAAGAAGGCCATTGGCAAGCTATGGCGATATCTCATCTCTGGTTCGAGATTGCAGCACAAGTACTGCCGGAGAACACTTCGCTTTGGGATACGGCACTCGTCTTTGCTAGCATTGCCGCGACGGCATACGACAGCCATCTGATTGTTCTTCACTATAAGGCACTATTTGACTTCTGGCGCCCAGAACAGGCAATCAGGTATAAGCCAAATGGTTTTGGGAGAAAGACACCCGCCACGCCCGAAAGAAAAAAATGTCCTGATCATTATACCTATGATGTGCAATGTGCATTAATCACCAAATTGAATGACATACAATATGAGATAGAGAAGGATGTTGAGCCCTTTTGGAGTTTTTTCGCTATCATCATCATCATCATCATCATCATCATCATCATCATCACGACCATTATCATCATCATCATCATCATCATCATCACTATCATCATCATCAAATCAAATCAACAGCATTATTATAATCATTATTATCATCCTCATTGTGATCATCACACACACACACACACACACACACACACACACACACACACGCACACATACACATCATGATCGCTTGTTTGGTGTACATAGGATGAATTCAAATCTGACCGTGCATGTTTCTGGTGCTCTCCTTCGCGGATTTTTCGTCTGGGTGTGGTGTGCCCATGATAATGAAATGTATCTATGCTAGGAGAGGTGATGCTCAGCATTTGCCATGTCCGACGTGGACAGCTCTTCAACTGACAACCAAGGGAGGGAACAAACAAAGTGAATTTCACTGTGACCAGGTTCAATACGAGCAGAACGTTCACATCCTTTGACGACTTCGTGAACTTGGTGGCTACGTATAGGTACTAGGATCTTCGCCTTCGACAAACTTATTCGTAATATTGTACGGAATGTATATATTATACATATGCCTTTTAGAGTTGCAGTTAATAATCAGTTTCATTGTTATTCTTAACATACATAATATATGCATATTCTTTGTTTCGTGGATGTTTTGCTGGCTTGTGATGGGGTGTGAACCGACAGTCTGTAGAGTTTTCCATCTGGTGTGGGTGAGTGATAGTCTACTTTGATTTTGGTTAAGGTAGATTATCATGTATAGTGTAATCAGTGAGGGGATTCTACAGACTGTTGAGGGTTCAGCCTCCTGATGAGTCGGTGAAACTCCGACGAAACAGTTTGTCACAGCCCCTCGTTTGTTGTCCTCTTCTCTCTCTCTGCCTACGGTTTACCGGGCAGTTCTGTTTGTGACGATATATATGTTTGACGATATATATATATCGTCACAAATACATATATATATATATATGCATATATATATATATATATGATATATGCATATATCTAAGCTACCAGCCGGGGCTCCCGGGTCCGGGGTGGCCAGCCCGTGCAAGGACCARGGAAGGTCCCAGCAAAAAAATAAAAATAAAAAAAAATCCAAAAAATCCGGAAAAAGAACTATGTTATGGAGAACACTAAACTGAACCACTTTTGCCTCAGGGTCACATCGCAATTCTTCACCAAATTAAGAATAAAAAATAAATTTTAAAACTAATTCTTTTATTTTTATTATTTTTTCTTTTTTTCGCCCGGCCGGGCAAGTGACCCCGGGCCACTCTGGTAGCCTAGGTATATATATATATATATATATATATATATATATATGACGATATATATATATATATATATATAACGAAACAGTTTGTCACAGCCCCTCGTTTGTTGTCCTCTTCTCCCTCTCTGCCTACCGTTTACCGGGCAATTCTATTTGACGATATATATATATTTGACGATATATATATATATACTAGGCTACCAGCCGGACCGCCCGGGTGGCCAGCCCGTGCAAGGACAAGGGAGGGTCCCAGCAAAAAAAAACAAACATCAAAAAAATCCGAAAACAAACTATGTTATGCAGAAAAATAAACTGAACAACTTTTGCGTCAGGGTCACATCAAAATTCTTTTCCAAATTTAAAATATAAAATAAAAATTTAGAATATTTTTTATTTTTTTTATTTTCTTAATCTTTTTGGCGCGGCCGGGCAAGTGACCCCGGGCCACTCTGGTAGCCTAGTATATATATATATTAACTAGTAGATATATATTGTCAAACAAATACGTAACATATGCATGTGATATATAATATATATAAGGAGAAAGTACATTAACTTTGTGGAAGAACAGAGTTTCGAATAGGAGAAAAAACCAGACGCGAGCAAAGAAAGCAGCTATCGAAAGGGCAAGCGAAGTACTGCTGCCGAGACAGAGACACAGGTGTCATTCATAACTACAGGCGCAGACCGTGGTGTCATACGGGAAAGAGGGGGGGGGGGAAGGGCCAACGGATGCATTTGGACCGAAATTGCCTTTTCGAGTTCTGCGGTTGATAGCGTGTTTGTTTTTGTCTTTGTGAACTCAACACTTGCCGCGGCGGCACTTGTTTCGATATATAATCAATTAATAATACAGATAAAATACATATATATTTGGGACCGAACAAAGTAACTTTCGTGTCCGTTTTTTCTTCTTCTTTTTAATTCAAATACATATGTGTGTGTGTGTGTGTGTGTGTGTGTGTGTGTGTGTGTGTGTGTGTGTGTTTTGTAATGCGTGTCATCCTGGCGCAGGGGCCATGCTCATCTTCTCTCTATCGGTCCAATGTTAAAGGATGTCCCGAAGGACTACATAATATGTGTTTTAAAGTTAGTACATTGATTGTTTTTTCTTAATTATTAATAATACCGCCCCAGTGTGTACCCGGCCTTGAGTGGATTTGCATTTTATACTAATTTATACTAAACTGTCTTTTTTCAAGAAAGAAGAAAGAAGAAAGAGAAGAAAGAAAAAAGAAAAAAGAAAAAAGAAAAAAGAAAAAAGAAAAAAGAAAAAAGAAAAAAAAACTACTTTTGAAACTCGGATTCGGCCGCATTCGTATTTTTTTCTTTTAAAAAAGAAAATTCACGAGCAGCCGTGTGGACACAAGAATTTCAGGAACCACTGGCAGTAGCTTCAAATTCAATCATTGAAAAAAAAACACAGGGGGGCGGAAGAAGAAGAGGGGGGAGGGGGGGAGGCTTGAGGGGTGTATGTTATTGGCCGTTTTTTGAACTGTTACACTGAAAAGTGACTTTAACATTAAAAGATTAAATTCTTCTTGGCACTGTTTGCTCCTTCAAGAGGGTTTTGGTTTCTCACATACCCCACACCATGCAAGGAACCAAAACCACCCAACACTGTTGGCAAATTTTTGAGAAATTCGTCAACCAATGAAAGACGCCGTTTAAATCTCTATTTTACGCGGCATTCGAACTACTTTTCCTGGCCCTCCGATCATCTGCACTCCACGGCCGGATGGAACGTCACACTGTGCGGCATAGGGCCAACCAAAACTCTTGGGAGCACTAGTGGGACTTAGCCCCTGGTAAACACAGTTATATTAGAGCCATGAATGCCTTGATACATGCAGTGCCAGTGTGCCACACATTGCGCATTAATTTTTTTGGTTTCTTTTGTTTGATTTGCTGTTGCAGGGTATTGGCAGGTGCTCATTTTGGGTTCTCGGGGGACGACGCACGGACTCTGTGTGGAAAGGTATGCAAATCCAGACACGCCTGCTTCCTTTTTTTCTTTTTCTTTTTCTTTTTTCTTTTTAAACACCAGTACTACTTAATGTACTTTCTAAAGTCGTGCCTGTTAACAAGCCACAATTTTAGGAAACATACAGGCCACTACAGGAGCGCCCACTAGAAATGTTTCTACTCCATTTTTTTCCCACGGTCCATAGCTGGGCCAAGTACTGGTGGACCAGTGCTTGTTGATAGGAGTAGTGATATGAGCAGTGCACTAACTCCCTAGTATGGTCAGCGCAGACCATACTCCAGAAAATTCGGAAAACTCGTTCTAGTGCATCTCTTCCGTCATCATCATGCTTCCTTGGATTCTAGGTGGAGTCGTTGGCATCGGTAGGTGATTTCAAGGCAGAGATGCACTAGAACAAGTTGTTTTCAAGGCAGAGATGCAGTAGAGCAAGTTTTCTTCAAGGCAGAGATCCACTGGAACAAGTTTTTCGAATTGTGGAGTATGGTGAGCTATGCCGTCAATGGATGCTCGATGGAGATGATGGACATAATGCAACTTAGGGACTGTGGACATGGCTATGGCGAAGTCTATAGAATTTCAAGGCCTCATTCGAAGGTTATTGTTCTCACCGGAATAGAAAGCACAGTCATAAGTATAGCTGTATTTGGGGCAACCTTCAGTCCAGATAGACTGATAATGACCGTGGATTCAACTCAGGTGAAGATACACAGAATGTGCCTCCATGTTGTTTGTCGTCATGCCATTGCGTGCACTGGCATCTTTCTCTTATTACTATCCTCCTCTTGATTGTGGATGCTTCAATAGTCGTGGTCATCATCATCATCATGAAGGCGGGGTGTTGTGTAACTTGTGTCCATGTGAATGCACGTTTAACTTATCTATCATCATCATCATCATCATCATCATCATCATCATCAACATCATCATCTCATCATGACAATAGAAAGCACAAGGTCCATGTGACATTCACACAAGGCAGATTCAACATGATGGAAGCAGGGCCTTGTGTGAATGTCAACGTCAATGACATTGTCAGATGATGGCCCTTTATCATGAACATCTGATTCATCATTCTCTCATCATGACAAATGGACAATGCTACTTTGATGTCTCAGGTGAGCTTAAGTTGTGTTTCGAATCTAAGACTTCTGATTGGTGTCGATGACGGTTGGAAGGATGACAGTCCACCATGATCATGATGGAATTGGCGATGTTGTGCATTGGCAGCATTACATGATTTGTACTTGCAAGGCTTTTGAACTGCAGCGGAATATCAATTGATCTTGTGGAAAAGGTTTGCGAGAAACCACAAGCTGACTGCTGCAAGGTAATGATCATCTGTTGCAGGTCTCAAGAGACGTCCATGACCGACTTGCTCGTATTTATTCAAGGAGAAGACTTGAAGAGAGCGGTCGCACTGAAAGGCGCATGTCCGAGGACAAGAGCACTAGCAGTTCCACTGGGTCCTATGGTGTTCAGTCGCCGGGCAGCTTCAGCAGACACTACGACGGTCAGCCTGACAGCTTCACTGGGTACTATGACTCTCAGCCTGGCAGCTTTGCCAGATACTATGGTGGTGGTCAGGGTGGGAGATATGGCTATGGTGGTGGTCAGCCTGGCGACTCCGCCAGATACTACAGTGGTCAGCGTGGCAGCTTTGCCGGATCCTATGGTGGTGGTAAGCCAGACGGCTTCTCCAGGTACTATGAAGATCAGCCTGGCAGCTTCACCAGATTCTATGGCCATCAGCCTCACAGCTTAGACGGATACTATGCAGGTGTCCCCGGCAGCTCCGCCAGATACTATGACCGTCAGCCTGACAGATTTGCCAGATACTATCATGATGGTGGTCAGCCTGACAGCTACACCAGATACTATGGTGGTCAGCCTGGCAGCTCTGCCGGATACTACGCACGTGTCCCCGGCAGCTCCGCCAGATACTATGACCGTCAGCCTGACAGATTTGCCAGATACTATCATGATGGTGGTGAGCCTGACAGCTACACCAGATACTATGGCGGTCAGCCTGGCAGCTCTGTCGAATAATATGGCAACTATGCAGGTGTCCCTGGCAGCTCCGCCAGATACTATGGCCGTTAGCCTGACACATTTGCCAGATACTATGGTGGTCAGCCCGGCAGCTCTGCCGGATACTATGGCGGTCAGCCTGCCACTGCTGCCAGATACTACTATGATGGTCAACCTGGCAGCTTAGACACTGGCAGAGGGTATGCTGGCCGGCAGGGTGACTTCTTTGCCCGATACGACGGTGGTCAGAGTGACAGCATCGTCAGAGACTATGGTCGTCAGCCTGGTAGCTTTGCCAATTCCAGATACGATGGTGGTGGCGGTCAGCCTGGTAGCTTTGCCAATTCCAGATACTATGGTGGTGGCGGTCAGCCTGGTAGCTTTGCCGGATACTACGGCGGTCAGCCTGTCAGTGACCGCTTTGCCAGGTACTCTAATGGTGGTCAGCCTGGCAGCTTCACTACATACTACGATCGTCAGCCTGGCAGCTTCGCCAGATATAATGGCGGTCAACCGGGCAGCTTCACCACTGGCAGATACTACTACAATGGTCAGCCTGGCAGCTTTGCCAGATACTATGGTGCCACTGGTCAGCCTGATGGCTTCCCAACATATTATCATGGTGGTCTGCAGCCGGGATCTTCAGGTTATATAGGTGGCACCAGCTACTATCCAACAGCAAGGTGGTATCGAACTTCATATGGCTATCCTCGGACTACCGCCGCCAATGAAGCCCCAGGCCCACTCGGAGTTATGACAGACGGCTACCCACAATATAACTACTATCTTCGAGACTTTGGCATCCCCAGGACAAACAACCTTGATTACAATTACATAGGAAGAATGTATGGTTTCGGTGATGGATACTATCATGGGGGACTGCCCTTCTCTGGGTCCACAGAAGCGCCCATGGGATGGCCTCTTCTTGAGGGGTTCTACACCACAATATAGATGTACTGGGTCGAACTGTTTGGGACAGCAGTCATGGGGCATGTTTGACGGGGTGTCGAGATAGTCAAACTACTATCCAGACGGAGGCAATCCCTCAGGCTATTATACAGGATTTGCGGATGGGCTCTACTCCTAAGCACCCAGCACAAGAACCACAGGTTACCGTCTTCTGCCCCCATATAGCCAACCCGGCACGTCTGTGATAAGCTCAGACCCGTACCGCGCGGCTTCCCGTATCCCTGAGGGAAAATCCCGCGAAAGCCCCGAAGTACGGACACGGACAGAAAGGGGGTTTTCTTTCTTTTTGCTTTTGTTTTCTTTTTGAAACGGCTTTTTCATTTTGTTTGGTTAATAATAGCCGCCTCGGTATGAAAAGCAAGAAACGGTTTCGGTTGGAACTTTTTTAATTTTTTGCGCGCGCACGCCTAAGCTCCGATCTCTTCACGCGTCTCTCATCCCCGTTTCTTGCTTTGCATCCCCGCGCCATCTTCCCTTCTTGCTGCGCGCATTTTTCCCCATGCTGGACTCTTCGTCTTCCCCTCCGCCCAGCTCGATCCTTACCCCGCGAAGTGATTGGCCGCGTAGCTGTCTCTTATACATATCTAGATGTGTATAAGAGTCTTCCCCTCCGCCCAGCTCGATCCTTACCCCGCGAAGTGATTGGCCGCGTAGTTGGGATGCTCAGATCAATGTGGAGAGCAGGAAACCGCGCGCCACTTGAATGGACACCCCAATCACGCAGGACCATGCCATCCCGCGGGTCGAACCCTCTAACTCCCCACCTCCCTCCTATCCTGCCCATCTACAACCTGCGCTGACCGCACCTCGCGCTGACAACCCGCCGCCTCCCGCGCTATAAATTCACGCAACCCTCTCCTCTCTCTCTCTTTGATCTCGGCTGCAATGCTGCGCAAGCTATGCGTGAAGTCCGCGGCGCCGAACAGGCTCGACGGGCCCAAGGACGGGCGGAGTGACGACGTGGGGTTGGGCCTGCGGTAGTCTCGGGGCGACGCAGTCGGAGGTACTGAGCAGTGATGGGGATTGGACGCCGGCCGCGGCAGGGCCTTGTGGCTATGGTGGTCGGTGGTCTTGGGAAGTTTTGAAGGCGGCGGCTGGGGGCGGCCGCTAATTGAGAATTTTTGTGTACAAGAAGGACTCGCTTATGTCTCCATTGCTGTTTTGTCTATGCATGACGTGTGTGAGGCCCCGAGTGATGGGAACTTGTTGCGCGCATGAGTGATGTCAAAGGTCTATGGATGATTGGATGTCCTGCCGAGGGTTGTTGATTGTCTGCCTGTATGTGTGTATGTACTTATCCGGGCGGGGACGGAGGAACAAAACTGGGGGATCGTCTGCTTAGGAGTATGAGTGTGTTAATCCCGTTGTTCCCCTCCCTTCCACGGCCCTTCGTGCGCGCCCGCGCATTCTCGATGAAAACTCTCTCTCTCTCTCTCCCTCTCTCTCCCGTCTTCCTTTTTGAACGGATAGCCATCGCTTTTTGAGCTTCTCGTCCCCGTACCGGTGACATCAACCGCCTGCGTCCGCGCACGCGGTCGACGCCCCCGCAAGGGGAAGAGAGCTTTGGCTCCGCCGTCTTCCTCCGACGCACTAAGTTAAACCCAGAGAGAGAAGGTTACATTGAGTGTTGTATGGAGTCGATGTTGGTTCGGATGACCAGGAGCGCGGGATCTTGCCCGTGTTCATCAACTACCTCCGATCGTCTCATCTCGCTGCCGATCTTCCCCATCACAGATGACGACAGCGTCTACTGCGATGCGGACGTACGGCGCGCGCTGAGGCGAACGGAGCAACTGTGTTGGCGAGACCCGCCTCGGGCTTGTGATATAAGGGGGAACGGGTTCGTCTTGATTGAGCGTTTTGATTCCCCGACTCTAATATTGCCTTATACGGGTTTGACTGTGTTGCCCTGGTCGGCCGCCTACGCCGCGTGGCCGCCGCAGTTTGATTGTCGTTGGTGTCGCCAGGGGGACTCGTGTTCGTGGCGACGCTTGGTCCTGGGTTACGAGGGAGCGACACGTTTCCCTGAGCTATCCCGTGACGGGGGGGCGCTGCCCGCGCAATTTCGAATTCGGATGCCGGCGAGTCCTCCCGCCGTTTCACCCTCTCGGAAACTTCCGCGTGGACTTTGCGAGTCCGACGTCGAGGCTTGAAGACCTCGAACCAACCACCTCTACGGCAAAAACCCGATGGCCCAATCACTTCGTGAGGCTGATGACGAGACCTGACGGCTTCGAACCCACCACCTATCCCCCAAACCCATGACGGCCGGAGTTTTTGTCTTCCGCCGCCATGGCCCTCTCCCCTTGATGTCTTTTTCCATCCTGATGCACGACGGCAATTCGTTTTTGCGGAAACCCTTCTGATTTTATTGTTTCGGAATGATCCGACCCCCACGGGACTTCGCGACGACAGTTTGACTCCGGGGGAAAACCTCTGGCACGAAACGAGGGCCTCCCGTTCCATCCGGGAGACTCAACCCTTACGGTCAAAAATCCTCGGCCAAGCCCCTCCTAGAACTCTGATCAGCGACCCCGTACGGGACAGCGCGAGGGGGCGTGAGGTTGGTATCAGAGCTGATTCGTTTCGGCTCCGAGGTTTTTCCTAGGACGATTGCCCTGTTTAAGAGTTTTTCTTTTCTTTTCTCATTTTTTATCTTTCTTTTAGATTTTTCTCATTTTTGAGTAGGCTGGCTCTCCGTCGACGGCGGCCCGCGAATAGCAATCAGAACCGAGCGAGAGGCCGGGCCCGAGATCCGCCTCCCGCGATGGTGGAACCCAGAATTGGGGGTGGAAACGACGGCGATAACCACGCGGGGATGGCCACTCATCCCCTGTATTTTGTACCTCCTCCCTCCGAGGTTCCCATTTTTTTCGAAGATGATACCGACCCTCACACCTAGCTAGCTGCCTTGAGAGCCCAGGGCTGGTCGGACCAGTTGCTCTGAGAACGGATTCCTGGAAGGTTAGTCGGAACCGCTTTTGAGTGGTATGGACAGAACCCTTTCACTAATTGGTTAGCCTTCTAGAGGAAATTTCTCGATAGATTTGATCACATTGCACCAGGTCAATGCCTCCGTCTAATAAAAGAATATACACAGCAGCCTCGGGAGACCTTGGCTAGATACGCTGAACACTTTACGTACCTAGCCGAGCACTCCGGGGTGGACGAGAAAATGGTACGGACTGATTTCGTCAGAGGGTTGTCAGATTCTCGCCTGCGGAAAAAGATCCGCAAGAAATGCAACCCTATAGAACATACCCTGACGGAGCTAATTCAGTACGCAATTAAGTACGGGAAAGAAAATTACGATGTGGGCCTAGACTCAGAATCCGACGAAGACGACCCTTTGGGTGTTCGACGCAATAGCTACTCCGCTACGGCACGAATGTTCGAAGATCGCTTCGGGTGGGGTCCGGCAAAAAGAGGCTCGGATCGGAAAGCTTCGACCTCCCGTCGCTCTAGTCAAGCACAAGGAGGTCGTGCGAGGAAGAAGTGTCCATAAAAGAGGTCACGGCCCAATTAGTTACGGTAGTGGCCCCGCTGACGGAGTTTGTTCAGGGCCTGCAGCGGCAACGCATAGCCACCGCACAACGGCAACAAGTGGCTATGGCCGCCGGGGCCCCTATGATAAGACCGGCAGTGGTCGGGGCTGTCCCGCCCCTACGTTGTTATAATTGTAATCAGCCTGGCCACCTTGCAAAAGATTGTCCGAAACCTCGAACTCAGAGTGGACCCGCTGGTCCCACCGAACCTCCCCAAATCCCGTTGGCGGCTCCAACCGCTGCAGGACAGGGGAGGGTAGCCACAGTAATGGACACTGGAACAACGGAGATAGTGACCCCTGCGGCCACCGAGATAGGACCCGATGAGTATATGGCGGCGACGATGTTCGAGCCCGGGACCATTGGAGTGATACGTCACGTCCAACGGATTACCGAGGAAAGCGACCTCGGGTCGTGGCGACTAGGATTCGAAGATCTTGCAGCCCCTGGTCCTGAATACAAGGATGGCCATATCGACGTATTGGATGCCTTGAAGGCGCTGGATCTACGGATCCCCGTCCCTATCCCCTATCTGCTAACCATTTCCGAAGCGGCTAACGAAAAATTGATCGAACAATGCCTCAAAAACAGGCGTCGATTCGAGGAAAGTCGAAAGGGCAAAAGGCCGGTCCTACGAGACCCACCCACAAACGAGGAGTCACCCACCCTCGACCTCAAAGGTGCACGAAGCCAACCGGATAGGAATGATCCAGACCGTAGATTCTGCCTCGGAAAAACCCGAGGTATTCCTCCGGGCCTATCCTATAACCTGGAAAAGCGTTGAGTGTGACTGCGAGGTCTGGGGAAACCCCTCGGCCGCCATCTTAGACTCGGGATCATCAGCAGTCGCCATTTCTTGGAGATTGACGAAACGATTAAGAAGGGAAGAACATGTTCAGCCCCTCCGACCGGATGAACTGTATATATCCGCTACGGAAAATAGTATTCATTGTAAAGGGCGGATAACGAACGTGCCTATACCAGTGGGTCGGGTGCATTGTTTATGCGACGCAATCGTGCTGGATGTACAGGCGTATGATGTTCTGCTAGGCATTCCATGGCAGGCGGCGGTTGGAGCGCGAATGCACTTTGACAACTGTAAGGTGGTGCTAACATCGGCCCACCCCAAACCACAAACGATACCAGTGAGATTGGCGGCGCGTATGCGTACCCAGCCGGTGCCTCGAATCACCACGAAAGCCCACCAAATCAACATGATCCGTCGCCTGTCGTCAGGCGAAAATGAAACCTCGTCGGGAACTGACGAGAATGACGTTCCCGACCGATATCCGATCCGGGTTCAGGATCGATGGCGCCATTCCTGGCGACGAGAACCCTTGGAGATAGTTCGGAGCGAGTCCAAGTGCTCGCACGCGTTCCCCTCCATGGTGCAGGGGGAACCCCTGCTGAAGGTGTCCCGAATAGCTGACCTTTCGGAACCCCCTGCGTCCTTATATCTCAGGACGGACCCCCTACCTGAAAGATTTACCGAGCTTAGGGGGCTGTGCGATTTATCTTTTCGACCTCCACGGCCCCTACTCACGAATGAAAAAGCCGCGATACTCTTGAAAGAGGGGGTGTCGTTTCAACCCCGAACAACGGAATATCAGTGGGGACCGAGGGAATTGACGCATGCCTTTTCGGTAGAACCCTCGGCCGAACCCGAACTGGACAGTGACAGTGACATGGAAAGCGAGCCGATGAGTCCGGCGGACAGTCAAATTATTGCGACTGTCCTTTCGGCGAAAACCGACAAATCTTTGTTTGGGGCCTCGCCCGATGCCAGCGCGGCGGTCCCCACGGTTACGACGACGGTCTCCCTTCCTGGGGGAACCGTAGAAGTTCAGTTACCAGCCCGTGTTCCGGATGAATACAGACGCCTCCTCCTGACGGTTATACGGGCCTATCCTGAGGCCGTCAGTATTGAGGACCACGACATAGGGCTAACCCCTTTGATACATCACGTGATTGATACTGGGGATCACGCCCGATACATTGCCGACCGTATCGATATTCCCTTAAAGAAAGACAGCTGACATTGGAAAGGGTACGGGAATTCGAGCGGTTGGGGTGGGTCGAACCATCGCTGGTACCGTGGTCTGTTCCCGTGGTCCTCGTGCCAAAACGAAATGGTTCGGTCCGGGTGTGTATCGACTACCGAAAATTGAACGCTATCACTACCAAAGATGTGTGTCCCTTGTAGTGAATCGACGATTTATTAGATGCTATCGGGTCCGCTCGAGTCTTTTCCAAGTTCGATATCCGACACGGTTTTCACCATGTCGCAGTCCGACCGGAAAACCGACCCAAAACCGCTTTTGTCCTATTTGAGGGCATGTGGCAATGGGTCCGGTGTCCCATAGGAATTTGTAACGCCCCTGCAACGTTTCAGCGGGCCATGAATATGGCCTTCGCCGAGTTCGTTAATAAAACCCGACTAACCGAGCCCCTGATCAATTTCTGCGTAATTGCGTACATGGATGATATTTTGGTCTTTTCAAAAACACACGAATACCACGTGGAACACATCGAGTGGGTTTTGCATGCGCTAAAGGATGCGGGGTTCAAAGTGGCCTTGGATAAAAGTGAGTTCTTCTTGTCGGAGATCTCATTATTGGGGTACATCGTCACGGTCGATGGACTAAAACCGGATCCGAGGAAGGTGGCAGCAGTTCAAGAAGCCCCAGCGCCAGCCACACTCACTCAGGTTCGGGCTTTTCTATGACTGGCATCCTATTACCGACGCTTCATCAAGGGGTTCGCCGGTGTAGCGAAGCCCCTAACGAACCTGCTAAAGAAAGAGGAGCAGCTGATCTGGACGCCGGAATGCGAAGCGGCGTTTTAGGCGTTGAAGGAGGCTCTAACATCTGCTCCTGTGTTGGCGCATCCCGACTCGACAAGACCGTTCGCACTGTACACCGACTGGCAGCCGCAGGCGATATCGGCGGTGCTGACTCAACACGGGGCGGACGAAAGGGAACACGTCATTGAGTATGCGTCCAAAACGCTGAGCCAGGCGCAGGCTAATTATGAAGCTTGCAAAGGCGAATGCCTGGCGGTGGTGTGGGGGATTCAGCATTTCCGACCGTATCTTTACGGCCAGAAATTCGTGCTGGTAACGGATCATCAGTCGCTGTTGTCCCTACGCAACAACACGGACTACACGGGGACGCTGGGCAGGTGGGCGGTGCGTCTGCAAGACTATGACTTCGACATCCGCCACCGTGCCACGCGACAGCATGGTAACACCGATGGATTGGCGCGCCTCCTGCCGCCCAACAAGTGTCCCGCCAACAAGCGACTCATTCCGTAGAGGCCGGAAGTCGCGGCGACGAAACCGCTCTACGGGGAGCTACACGTGCTGCGCAAGAACGACGCCTGAGTCCGGAATGGAGGTTTCGCCGGAGATGGCAGATGCTATCTCTTTGCCCTCATCCAACTCCCTCGCTCTCTCGTCTAATCCCTACTCGTCCCCTGAAACACATCTGAGTCCCTGTTTTTTATGTACCTTGCCTATGGTCTCGGACCAAGAAGGGTCACATCCGGGAGGGCCCAGTTTTCTTTTGTGGGTGCAGTATAGTCGGTGTCAAGCGGTCAAGTCCCACGGACAATGCGTTAGGTACCGAAGTGAAAAGACGTGGGTCTGTCCCAACTGTAGAACGGACCAAGTCCCTACCGAGAAACGGTATCAGGATGCACGAACGACCGACGGATTTGCGCCAAGTGTCCGCCGGGCAGAAGTCTGGACGGACCTTCTGTTGCTACGGAGGCTGTTAGGCGACTCGCTGTCAGAACTACCCAAAGCCAAGCGGCGGAGAGTCACGGAGCGGGCGCAGGACTATCGCTGGCAGGGACCGACGTTACAAAAACGAAAAGTCGATGATGACAGAGGGTCTAGCTGGTTGACAGTTCCGCACCCTTTCGCTAGGTTCGATTGGACACGAGCCGCTCATGAAGAGGATGCGGTCCATTTCGCGGTCAAGTACACGGAAAAAGCCATCGAAAAGAACGGATGGTACAAGTCGGGAATTCGGGAAGATGTGAAATACACCGTTCAGAATTGCCCGGCCTGCGCGGCGGACAAAGCGCCAGTACAGATGCCTCGGACGATGGTGCCCACTCGTGTAGAACGCCCCTTTCAGAGGGTTAGCATCGACACGACGGATATCAACGTTCCGAGAGGTCCCGTCGATCAGGGAGAGCTCAATGTTCTTTTAGTGGTCGTCGATCATTTTTCGAAATGGATCGAGGCGTACCCTATGACCAGCCGGAATTCGCAGGAAGTAGCCTGGTACGTAAATCGATTTTTGTGCATGCATCTAGACGTAGAAGAGGTACACATGGACAATGGGTCAGAATTTCAAGGCGAAGTAGAACGTCACCTAGTCAGGGCAGACGTTAAGATTATCTACTCGCCGGGTCATTAGCCTCAAGCCAATGGCCTGGTAGAGAATGCCAACCGGCTGATTAAGACCGCCCTTAGATGGAATATCACTGCGGGAGACACCCGGCCCTGGCTGGTCATTGTGGACCACATCTTGGCCGTTTATCGGGCTACCCCGCACGGTAGTGCGGGGGTGTCCCCCTTTCAACTGAGAACCAATAGTGTCCCTCGGGTGCAATTGTCCCCCTTAGTAGGTACGGAAGTTAGAGCAACAAGGGCCCAGAACCAAGATAAGGCCCGACATTACATGGACTTAATGGCTAGGCCCTATCCCCCGTTAGCTCGCCGTCGACAGCAGGCCGTAGATCGGACACATCAACGGCAGATCCGTGACTACGAGAATCGACACGCGTCGGCGGGAACACTACCCCGCTATAAAGTCGGGGACTTGGTGCAGGTACGGAAATCTGCGCGCTCCTCCAAGATCCACCCGCACTACACAGGCATTTACGAGGTCACGGAAGTTGGCGCACAGGGACAGCACTCCGTGAAGCTGATTCCCCATCACAACTCCCAGGCCCGACCGCTGA